GGTGGCTCAGTTGGTTAGGCGACTGCCTTTGGCTCAGGTCATGATCCTGGAGTCCTGGGATCGAGTCCCGCATCGGGCTCCCTGCTCGGGAGTCTGCTTCTCCTGCTGACCTCTCTCCTCTCATGCTCTCTCTCTCTCTCAAATAAATAAATAAAATCATTTTAAAAATTAAAAAAAAGAAGTAATGATGATATCCTTCTCACTCATTTTGTGATAATGAGATGAGAAAAAATACATAAAAATTTTCCTAGGGGCACCTGGAAAATTGGTGCCAGAATTGGCACCTGGAAACCGAGTGGCCCAGTCAGTTAATCATCTGCCTTCAGCTCAGGTCCTGATCTCAGGGTCCTGGGATCAAGGACCACTTTGGGCTCCTTGCTCAGCAGGAAGCCTGCTTCTCCCTCTGCCACTTCCCCTGCTGTGCACTCCCTCGCTTCTGTCAAATAAATAAATCTTAAAGAAAAAAAAAAACCAACTTGGGGTGCTGGGTGGCTGAGTTGTTAAGCGTCTGCCTTCGGCTCAGGTCATTATCTCAGGGTCCTGGGATCGAGCCCCGCATCGGGCTCCCTGCCCAGCGGGAAGCCTGCTTCTCCACTCTCCCACTCCTGCCTATGTTCTCTCTCTTGCTGTCTCTGTCTCTGTCAAATAAATAAAATATTTAAAGGAAAAAAACTTAATTAGAAAGTTTTGTAGTAGTGTTAGAAATAAATCAGGTAAATAAGTTATTTAAGCCATGCCATATATGCTTTTCTGTGAATTAACAGGTTCTGTTTTGGAAGTAATACTTATGTAATATTATGCTGAATTCCATTCTAGTTATCTATAATAAATTATTCCAGTTAAAAGCAGATTTAAATGGTACAACTACACAGCAGATTTTAGATAGATTTGGATTACAGTTAAATAACATACAAAAATTGTTATAAAGCATAAAGTTAGATAGAGATTTACAAAGCAACAGAGTTTTTGTTGTTCTTGTTGTTGTTTTAAGATTTTATTTATTTATTTGACAGAGAGAGACTACAAGTAGTTAGAGACGCAGGCAGAGAGAGAGGGGGGAAGCAGGCTCCCTGCCAAGCAGAGAGCCCAATGTGGGGATCGATCCCAGGACCCTGAGATCATGACCTGAGCCTAAGGCAGTGGCTTCACCCACTGATCCACCCAGGCGCCCAGCAACAGAGTTTTTGAGCTCCTGTTATGTGCTAGCCCCTATAGGGTACCAAGAAGGCTGCCAGGCTGCTGAGGAATAGTGGGCTCCTTTTCCCAGAGAGCTTTTACAGCTGAGAAAAATGTATACCAAGAGAGAATGACAAAAGTAATAAGCAGTACAAGGCAAATTCAAATTAGACTATAGGATTTTGTAAATTGAAGAGGTCATGGGAGGCTGTCGTGGTCATGGAAAGGTATCTAGAAGAAGCTGAGATCTCAGACACAAATAGAATCAAATAGGGAAATGAGAAGAAAGTACTTCAGGTAATGGAATGCAAAGTCTTATGAGTCAGCTGTCTAGAATGGAATTTTTTTCAATAGGAAGATAGGATGAGGCTGAGGGATAATAAGTCTTAAATGTGAGTCTGCACAGTTCAGACTGTATCCTGTGAGTTTTTGAAAGTTCTGGAACAAAGGAATTATATTAAGGAGCCAGTATTTTTTTTTTTAAGATTTTTATTTATTTGACAGAGATTACAAGTAGGCAGAGGAGATAGAGAGAGAGGAGGAAGCAGGCTCCCCGTCAAGCAGAGAGCCTGATGTGGGGCTCGATCCTAGGACCCTGGGACCATGACCTGAGCCGAAGGCAGAAGCTTTAACCCACTGAGCCACCCAGGCGCCCCAGGAGCCAGTATTTTTTTTTAAAGATTTTATTTATTTATTTGACAGGCAGAGATCACAAGTAAGCAGAGAGGCAGGCAGAGAGAGAGGAGGAAGCAGGCTCCCCGCAGAGCAGAGAGCCCGATGCGGGGCTCAATCCCAGGACCCCAAGATCTTAACCTGAGCCGAAGGCAGAGGCTTTAACCCACTGAGCCACCCAGGCCCCCCAGGAGCCAGTATTTTACACAGTTACTTCCCTGGTGCCAGTGAATAAGGTGGACTTGAGGGAAAGAGTCAGGAGACCTCATTTCCCAACTCCTATGCCTCTTTCCAAAAAAAAAACCTAGTGTAAATAATTCTAGGTGGGAATGCTGATTGCTACCTAAAATAGACTGCACATTATGTATTCCAGTCCTTCTCATTTTCCTTAAACGTAGATTGTTTTATCAAATTATAATTATTTTTCACTTTGTCATTCTTACCTACTGTGTCTCCAGATAACTCGCTTAAGGCCAACATAAAATTTATTTCAGTAGGTCTTACTGTTTCGTGTTTTTTGTTTGGTTGGTTGGTTGGTTTTTTGTGTGGGCTTTTTTTGTTGTTGTTCTCGGGGTTTTTTTTTTTGTTTTTTTTGTTTTTTTGAGATAGAGACAGTGAGGGGAGGTGTGAGGGAGGAGGGACAGAGTGGGGAGAGAATCCTAAGCAGGCTCCACACCCAGCATAGAGCCAACACAGGGCTCCATCTCAGGACCCTGAGATCATGACCTGAGCCGAAATCAAGAGTCAGATGCTCAATCAACTGAGCTGCCTGTGTACCTGATTTTACTTTATAAAGGAGAAAGAATACTGAGGGAAAGATTATACAACATAAGTGCTTATCAGACCTAGTATAGATTCATTTTCAGTAGATACACTTTGAATCAGCTTGGTATTCCTCAGTTATTTGAGCTCTGACTTGGCACTGCACTCACAGGGTACCTTATAAATACTGCTGAACTCTAAGTGGTAAATGCCTGAGCGTTTTCCCTCTGTTGCTTTTACTCAGCTTTGTCATCATTGGGGAAATGTCAGCAGGGTAGAGGAAGAGCCAGTGCTGCTTTATAGGCTCATACTGGAGGCGCCAGATGGGGTTGTCAAGTGTCCCCCCCACTGCCAGCACCATCCGTAAGAACCACTTCCCTGGCAAAAGCTTTCGCCATTCGTGACCTTGTATACTGGTATGAGCCCCTTAAAGATAAATCAGTGTATCATAAATCTGAAAAAATTCTTAGAAATAAGTTGAGGTAGGTTAAGCCCTACAAAAATGGCCACAGAATTTTCTTTTAATACCTCATTCTGACTTGTTTTTAAGCCACCTCATCAATGTGTCTGTGTAATGTGATATAATGCTTTGCATCTTGTTTATTAAGAGTCTTTGATCACATATCAGCACTGAGGCTTGAGGACCTAAATCTTCAGATCCAGGGATTAAGAGAGGAAGAGAAGGAGAAAGGGAGAAAAGGAAAGGATAAAAGAAAGAAAGTGAGGGGCGTCTAGCTGACTTGGTTGGTGAGGCATGCGACTTTTGATCTCAGGGTTATGAGTTTGAGTCCCATGTTGGGTGTAGAGATTACTTAAAAATTAAATATTTTTAAAAAGAGAATATGTGTATATTTTATGGGGAGGATATTCCTTATTCTTAATTCTTAGAATCATTAGAGAAAAGGGTTTGTTGTAATACTTAATTACAACTAGGATGAGTCATTCTGGACGTTAAAAAAAAAATCAGAGGAAGGGATAGTAGGTCACAATCACAAAGACTTTCTTGACCCATTATAGTTGCTTTAAAATTACCCTGCCCCTTAGGCTAGCCTTTCCTGCCCAATCCTTCTTCCCTTTTAGGAGGAAAATCATTTAGGAAGATAAACTCAGGGGTGCCTGCATGGCTCAATTGGTTAAGAGTCTGCCTATGGCTCAGGTCATGATCCCCAGGTCCTGTGATTGAACCCCATGTCAGGCTCTCTGCTCCATAGAGAGTGTGCTTCTTCCTCCCTCTGCCTGCCTCTCCCCCTGCTTATGCTCACTCGCTCACTCTCTTTCAGATAAATAAATAAAATCTCCTTTATTTTAAGATTTTACTTATTTGAGAGAGAGTGGCAGAGAGAGCACAAGGAGGGTGGGCAGAGGGAGAGAGAGAAGCAGGCTCCCCGCTGAGCAGAGAGCCGGATGCGGGGCTCGATCCCAGAACCCTGGGATCATGACCCAAACCAAAGGCAGCCACTTAACCAACTGAGCTGCCCAGGTATCCCAATAAGTAAAATCTTTAGGGAAAAAAAAAAAAAAAAGATAAACTGAGTCTTTCTGGGTATAGCATTGACTTTTACACAGAATATTAATCTATATGTACATGTAACATTCATTTGGGGTTTGACCAAACAATTTCTTTTGTGGCCACACAATCTTCAAGTCTTTTAAAACCTTAAGAATTTTGAATTTATAAGTTAAAAAAGAAAAAGGTGTCTTAAAGTGCCATGGAAAGTAAGATTTAATATTTTCCATATGTTGTCCAGAAACTTACTTGAAAAACAATTCAGTGGATTAAAGTTGTGACAGATAGTCAAACTAGACCAATTAATTTGAATAAAAACTTTAATATTCAGCATGTTTTATTACTTTTATTTTCTTGATGGTCAAGAATAACCAGCTGCCAGGTTACAGGTAACCATGAGGGTGAAACAAGAACATAATAAAATCTGACAGAAGGGACGCCTGGGTGGCTCAGTTGGTTCGGCTCAGGTCATGATCCTGGGGTCCCGGGATCGAGTCCCACATCGGGCTCCCAGCTCCATGGGGAGTCTGCTTCTCCCTCTGACCTTCTCCTCGCTCATGCTCTCTCTCACTGTCTCTCTCTGAAATAAATAAATAAAATCTTTAAAAAAAAAAATCTGAAAGAAGAAAGGAGTGTTAACTGCTTTATCTGAGGGCGTTGCCCATGTGCATGTGTTGTAGTGGTGAATCTGATGTGGGTCTGAATTCATTATTCAGATGGAATCTTTGAGCAGTTTAATCAACATAAAGTGTGTGTCACCCGTTCACACTTCTGCTAAGTATGAAAGAATTATTCTGCGCAAAGGTGCTGTAATGCTTTAGTTCTTTTCCAGCTCAAGGTTATTCTTAGGATCTACATCTTTACTGTTGCTCCTGTTCTGTAGGCATATTCAGAACATGAGTGAGATCAAGACAGACGTCGGACGAGCTCGGGCATGGATAAGACTATCTCTAGAGAAGAAGCTCTTGTCCCAGCATCTAAAGCAGTTGCTCTCCAACCAGCCACTCACCAAGTAAGAGATAGCCTCTTAGACATTTCTGCTTCTGTGACCTGTGTGTCCGCAAAGCAGATTGCATAAGCTGGCCGACTGACTTCTTCAGCACAAATTGCTGATTCCTGTGCACACATGTTCTTCCTTTCTAACAGGCATGCTTTGGAAACTCCATGGTTTGACATAGTATTTGATTTTACCTGGGAGGACACACACCAGACTTGACAGCCAAAGGCCAGATTGCTCTGTTCTCAACCAGAAAAAAACTGAACTAGTTCTCACAGGCTGACAGTAACATCCAAAAGATAGGTTGAATTTATGTAAACCTTATATTTTAAAGATCACAACAAAACCTGTAGTAGCAAAAAAGAAAAAAAAAAAAAAGTCCACATTAAGAGGTTTCTTCTGAGAGTCTTGGCGAATGCTTACATTTGATAGTTTAGAGCCAGGAAAGCAATCAGTTGCATGTTACTTCATTGTTAACTGTTTAAATAGGTCACCCTTTACTCCCTCAGGAAACCCTCTTAGATAAAATGCATCATCTGCATAATATATATGTTAGAGCTAATTTAAAGCCTGAGGACTTAGGTCTCTAGAGCAAAGCTATGCAAAAAACTCAACAAAGTTCTCAGACTTGACCTTGCATTGAAATCTCATCATGGTAACAATTCTTTTTATAGTTTTGTGTTTGTACACATCATCACTGGGCTATTTACCCCCCCAAACCCTGGAGCATTTTAAGATGAGTCTTAATGTCCAGAGAGTAGGTTTGATAAAGAATACAAAGTTAGATACAGGCAGTGAACCTAATCTTGTTCTCTGAAACTAGTTACTCCCCTTACCCATCCCTGCCCATTATAAATCATTCATGTCCACTATGTCCAAAGTACATAAAGTGCTATGTAAACGTTGTGTACCTTGGGGTGCCTGGCTGGCTTAGTAAGTAGAGCCATGCGACTCTTGATATCCGGGTCATGGGTTCAAGCCCCACATGTGGTGCAGAGTTTTATAAATGCATACTTACATATAGTTGCACACCTGAGTGGCTCCGTTGGTAGAGCATGCAACTCTTGATCTTGGGTCATAAGTTCAAGCCCCATGTTGGGTGTACAGCTACTTGAAAAAGAAGAAAATCCCACTACATAAAGGTAAATACCAAGTATTTCACATGTTTTCTTCTGTACTTTCTTCTATGCATGCTCTCTTAGTTAAGATTATACTGTATTCACAATTCAGTATCTTTTTTTTTAAGATTTTATTTATTTATTTGACAGAATGAGAAAGATCACAAGTAGGCAGAGAGACAGGCAGAGAGAGGGGGGGAAGCAGGCTCCCCACTGAACAGAGAGCCCGATGCGGAGCTTGATCCCGGGACTCTGAGATCATGACCTGGGCCAGAGGCAGAGGCTTAAACCCACTGAGCCACCCAGATGCCCCTTCAGTATCATTTTTTTAAGATTTTATTTTTAAGTAATCTCTGCACCCAACCTAGGGCTCAGACTCAAAACCCCAATAATCAAGAGTTACGTGGTCTTCTGACTGAGCCAGCCAGGAGCCCCGGTATCATCCTTTTTTTAGCTTGGTGTGTTAGAAACATTTCACTGTAAGAGTTTAAGCTCAGAAGACTGAATGCCTTTGTTCAGATACTGCCTTTACTATTTACTATTTAAATGACTTTGGACAGGATACTTTTTTGTATGTCTGTTTTCCTAATTTATAAAATGAGAATGCTAATAGACTTACTTCATAGGGTAATCATGAGGATTAATATATTAATATAATACACTTGGAAAAGTGCTTTAATGTAACTGCTTAATTAAAATTACTTATTTTTAGTAGTAGTTTTGTTTTTGTTGTTAAAACACTTTAGGGGCGCCTGGGTGGTTCATGGGTTAAGCAGCTGCCTTCAGCTCAGGTCATGATCCCACGGTCCTGGATTGAGTCCCATATGGGGCTCCCTGCTCAGCAGAGAACCTTATTCTCCCTCTCACTCTGCCTGCCACTCTGCCTACTTGTGCACTCTCTCACTCTCTGTCAAATAAATAAGTAAAATCTTAAAAAAAAACACTTCATAAACTTTATTTTCAATGCTCAGACAGTATTCCAGTGTATGCATATACCATGATACATATTTCCTTTTACAAATAACATTTTAGTGGACATCTGTGAGTAAGCCTTGCCCGTATTTCATGTTATACTCTTAGGACTGAGTCCTAAAAGTAAAACAAATGCATTTGACTTTGACTAAATTAATGTGTTTATTTTTAGTACAAGACATAATGAAAAGCATGAAAAATAAACTGTTATTTTGTGCTTGTCTTAACCCATTCCTAGGAAGCTTTATAAGCGTTATGCTTTTCTACGCTGTGAAGAAGAAAGAGAGCAGTTTCTTTACCATCTTCTTTCCCTCAATGCAGTTGACTACTTCTGCTTCACCAGCGTGTTCACCACTATCAGTAAGTCTGGAGAATTGGCTAATAAGTGAAGAGTTGCTCAGGTGACTAATGGAATAAGAGTTTATATTTTTACAAGTGACATATATGACAGTACAGTGAAATAGACTGTTTGTGAGGCGGGCCCCAGACCTCTATTTAGGAATGAAGCTTGTGCCCCAGCAGCTGGGACTGCTTTGGGAAGGCAGGCCTCAGCTGCCAGCCTCTGTGGGGAGTGCCTCACCAGAACAAACTACCTTCCCCTTCCCAACCCTCCCAAGATGATCCCTCCTTAGCAGGGCCAGCCAGCATCCTAGGACTATCATAGGGCTGTTCTAGAGCTTAACTGTGGCATCAGCTTAAGACTTCACTGCACTGTATCATAGTTCAGCTTCTCTCAGCCACATGGTGATCCCAGGAGCAACATCTTGCATGCTGACTTCTGACTTCATCTGCTTTCCAGGAACCCCAGTCTATAGTAGGAAACGGGCTGGATGTTAAAAAGGAATGTTTGATTAGGGACCCCTAACTGGCTCAGTCCGTGGAGCATGCAATTCTTGATCTTAGGGTCATGAGTTCAAGCCCCATGTTGGGCCTAAAGCTTACTTCAAAAAAAAAAAAGTTTTATTAAACAAATCATCCAGTATCTTACATAAAACACATAAAATTTTAAAAATCAGCATACCATAATAAACATATGGAACTGTGAACATCATTAAACTTTGATGATTCAGAAAGACTTTAAGACCTTACGGAATAATATAGGATTGTAGAGGGAGGAAATGCTGATTGGAGATGTGTTTTTGATGGAAAGTCAAATTATCGCATTTATTCACCAGTACTAATTCTTAGGTGCAGTGGCTCCCCTTACCCACTTTGGAGAATTTTTACTTGTATCAGAAATTGTGTTTAGCTGCAAGAATCAGAAACTTGGAAAACAGTGCTTTAAACAAATAGGTGGTTTCATATTTCTTATATAATGAGAAGTTTAAAAATAGTCTATAGTACGTTCAGGGACCCAGAGTCTTTGTCCTTCTCTTCTAGACAGTCCTCAGTGTGTGCTAATCATCTCATGGTCATAAGATGGCTGTTCTCATTCCACCTTCTAGCAGGGAAGAAGGAAGGAGTGCCAAGGAGTAAAGGGCAGAACCTGTGCTAGAAAAACAGGATTTTCGGGGCCCCTGGGTGGCTCAGTGGGTTAAAGCCTCTGCCTTCGGCTCAGGTCATGATCCCGGGGTCCTGGGATCGAGCCTCTCTGCCTGCCTCTCTGCCTACTTGTGATCTCTGTCTGTCAATAAATAAATTAAAAAAATCTTAAAAAAACAAAAACAAAAACAGGATTTTCTAAGAAATCCCAATAAATACAACATGTCACTGGCCAAAAATTAGTAGGTTTTGGCTTTCTAGTCTCGGATAGAAGCAGACAAGGAAACATTGAACTGAACTGGGTATTGGGCCAACCAGTAGTATCTGCCAACTATCCATTAGTATCTAAACTATCAGTTTCAAGATTTTATTTATTTATTTAACACAGAGAGAGATTACAAGTAGGCAGAGAGGCAGGCAGAGAGAGAGGGAAGCAGGCTTCTTGCTGAGCAGAAAGCCTGATGCGGGGCTTGATCCCAGGACCCTGAGATCATGACCTGAGCCGAAGGCAGAGGCCCAACCCACTGAGCCGCCCAGGCACCCCAAAACTATCAGTCAGTTTAGTACATTACTACTGGTGTAAGAAGCTAAGATGTTAGGGGTGCCCAGGTGGCTTAGTGGGTTAAGCGCCCAACTCGATTTCAGCTCAGGTTATGACCTCAGAGTTGTGACCTCAAGCCCTGTGTTGGGCTCCCCGCCCAGTGGGGAGTCTGCTTGAGATTCTCTCCCTCTCCCTCTGCCCCTCCCTTACCATCTCCCCCTTTCTCTCAAATAATAAATAAATAAATCTTTTTTTAAAAAAGAGCCTAAGATGTTATGTACAGTCTTAAAAGAAATAGCCCAGGTAGTTAGGACTCCTAAAATCCTACTTGTATCTATAGATTCCATGTAAGTAACTCTGAAGAATTGAGATCTTCATGAAAGAAATAATTTTAGGTTTAATAATATTACTCCCTTTATACTTGATGTAATCACAGTTGTGCATCTGACCCTAAACCCTTTTTTTTTTTTTTTTTTTTTTTTGTAGCTTTTCTAATCCTCTCAGTGAAAGGACTGAGAGAAGCCTCTGGCACCTAAAATAAAGTCTTGTACTAACCTCTTCTGCTTTCAGTTTCAAAACCCATTTGATTCTGATGATTACTAAACCATGAAAGTATGGCCTTTCCTCTGACATTTTCCTTTCTTTCAGCCAAAATGAAAAGACCAAAAGGGAGGTTATTCACCTAACATAAAGAAAGTCATTTATGTAAAATTAGGGAAATGAACCGTTAATCCCATTCAGTTTCCTTATCTAAGAGTGCATTGAACCATGATCTCGTTTTCTGAGGCTGTATCTGGGCATCTTGTCCAATAAATGTGTATCATCGTATGTGTAGGTCTTTCAAGGAGGGCTTCTAAGACCCTTTCTTTTGACTAAAGGAGCAGAAATTCCAAGGATACAAAAAAAAATTGATTCTACCCTGATTTAAAAAAAAAACAAAAAACAAGTATGACTCTGAGGGATAAAAATACGCCAGTGTTTGAACCATCCCCATTTTTAAAAGAGAATGGAGGGAGTGCAATGTCTTTATTGTGTTACCCTGTTTGAGCAAAAGACAGTGATAGGACAGTGACATCTAGTGGTATGCCTTCTAAAGAGCCTTTCTGAAGGAAAAGGTTGCAAACAGATTGCTTTCTACATCTTGATTCTTCCCCAGGGCTCCTCTTGTACCTGAGTGGTCTCAATAGCTTTCCAAATTGTGGTTTATACACTTTGTTATATCCAGAATGGTACTGTTTATTACTCTTGGCTTTGCATAGCGAGCTGTACAGTTGGGATGGGAACATTCTGAAACATTGCCTTGAGGAAATTAGCAATAAGGCGATAGTGTCCAAGAAGCCATTCACCCCCTTTTACATATGAACCCACATCAGGAACCATGCTCCCTAGTATACTTGATTTTAGAACAAAATTTAAAACATTAAAGCAGTGAAAATTTGTATAGGAGTCAGTTCTGGTGTTGATGCCTGGAATTGCTTTTTGTAAATGTAGAGGTTACGTATGTCACCATGGTGATACTCTGCATGTCATGCATACCTGGTGATATATATGCCATGGAAACTGTCACAAGCTTGGACTTGTGATTTATAAACTGGACCTCATCTTTATAGACTGAAAGAGGTGATCTCATCTTCTGTGTAAGCACATCTTGAAAGATCCTAACAAGGGCGCCTGGGTGGCTCAGTGGTTTAAGCCGCTGCCTTCGGCTCAGGTCATGATCTCAGGGTCCTGGGATCGAGTCCCACATCGGGCTCTCTGCTCGGCGGGGAGCCTGCTTCCCTCCCTCTCTCTGCCTGCCTCTCTGTCTACTTGTGATCTCTCTCTGTCAAATAAATAAATAAAATCTTAAAAAAAAAAAAGAAAGATCCTAACAAGCAAACTATCTGTGAAAGCCAACAGAATCATTAATATATATTTCCCTTATTATCAGGAGAATTTTATTGTGATTTTTAATTTCAACATTGTTCTTCCAGTGATTCCATATAGGTCCGTGATCATCCCCATCAAAAAGCTGAGCAATGCGATCATCACATCGAACCCTTGGATCTGTGTATCAGGAGAGCTAGGAGACACGGGAGTAATGCAGATTCCCAAAAACCTCCTTGAAATGACTTTTGAGGTAGGTTTAGCTAATACCTTTCTTAGCAGAAAATGTCATACATAGTTCTACACAAGGATTCCGGTTTTACTTCTTCATATGTCCTCAAATCAAATAATAACAAAGGAGTACTCAAGCATGCAGGATCATTTTTGTGAGTATACACCTTGTCTTAAACATAGTTATTTGTTTTATATTTTTATTGCTATAATTTTAGTTATTAAGCTCTATTTTTCTACTTGTAATGGAATAGTTTGGGGCTTTGCTAGGTTCTATTCCATGATTGTTGGTGCTTTGCACAGAAGCGGGCAAGTAGGGAACATTCAAGTAAATGCTTTTCCCACAGTGTTTCTCTTTCTTACTATAAAATGCTCTCTGCCACCTGGACAGAGGGATTGGAGAGCTGACACCCATGCTTATGGCTTGTAAACCACATGGTGACATTTGTAGAGTGATCTATAAAAATACCTTTTGATATTGTAGTCAGTTTTCAGGTCTCATCTGCTGAAGCATTCCCCTGTCTTTGAGCCCCCCTGTAGGCTGATCCTGGAATGCAGGAGGAAGACAAACACCTGCTCTTGTTTCAGGAGAGTAGTACTGACTGAATAACCTGTTTCCATGTTCCTTGGGGTCTAGGAAGAGCAGTTTCCACTTTGTCATAACATACCCAAGAGCCCCTTTTAGCCCTATTTATCTAAAATAGACTCACTATACACAAAAGATTAAAATGCTTGGGTTTTCTTTGACTAGCAAGTATGAAACATAAACTCTATTATAAGTTCCATCATTACTGTTTCCAGACTCTCTCATTTCTGCCTACTTTTTTCCATCTTTCCTGCCACAGCTAATTCAAGACACCATCCTCCCTCACGTGAATGACTATGATGTCTTCTCACCTTGATACAAAGTCAAGGGCTTTAAGAATTCATAGCTGTGATGTTCCCAACCATATATAGTCATTTGGGGGTTCTGTGATATTTTACCAGAATTTAAAAGTCAGAATTTAATTGACATTTATTTTTACTATTCCTTTTATTGCTTTCTTTTGTACTTGTCCACTGATGGCCAGGAAGGATATTGATAACTGTAATTTTTTTATGATAGCTTCAAAGGCTTCTAGTAGGTGAGATTTCAGGTCAGTTCTGCCTTAGCATTTCATTAAAAACAGAAAAACAGCTACGTCAGTGATTATTTATTTATTTATTTATTTTCCTGACTTCACTGTAACTGAATCTAAATAGCATCCTTTTGCCACTTCTTGAAATTATTCTCACCATAAAGGCACAAATTCTGGGTTCCCCAGGTAGAAATAATTTTTCCTTTTCCAGTGTTTTTCTAGTACTTGTTTACATCTCTAGCACCTTGTATAGTCCCCTCATTTGATAGTTACTGTCCATATGTGTCCTAGCTCATTAGATGGGATATATTGGATGTGAATATATTTCTCTACTACAAAGCAGAGCATATTATGCAGGATGAGTCTTCTGCAGTTGTTAAATTAGATGAAACTAAAGTGCCACCACTAAAGCTAAGCAGTAGTGGGAGTGGGATCAAGCTCTGAATAACCTGTGGTCCTGTCCCTCCAGTGCCAGAACTTGGGGAAGCTGACCACTGTTCAGATTGGTCACGATAACTCAGGACTGTTAGCCAAATGGCTAGTGGATTGTGTCATGGTCAGAAATGAGATCACAGGACATACATACAGGTAAGTAAATGTCCTTGGGAGCTCAGAATTCTTTCTTTGAGACTCTTTATCAAGACAAGGTTTAAGAATTGCTTTCTCCTGGGGTGCCTTTCTGGCTCAGTCAGAAGAGTGTATGACTCCTGATCTCAGGGTACTGAGTTTGGACCCCATGTTGGATGTAGAGATTACTAAAACAAACTTTAAAAAAAGAATTATTTTCTTTCTAAAGCTTTCTCACGGCCTTCTGAATCTTAGTTTAGGTTGTTGTGTTGTTTAGTCTTGCTTTTTTTTTTTTTTTTTTCCCCTACATATTTGAGAGAGTGAGAGCAGAGTCAAGAGACAACAAGAGTGGAGGGGGTAGCTACAGGGGAAGAAGGAGAAGCAAGCCCCCTGCTGAGCAGGGAGTTTGGGGGTGGGTACCTGACCCCAGGACTCTGGGATCATGACCTGAGCTGAAAGCAGACACTTAACCGACTGAGCCACCTAGGTGCCCGTTAGTTTTACTTTTTATGTAATACAAAATTACCCCCAGAAAACTTCTAAAAAATTATTTGTGTGTGCTATCAATGCCTAGTCCACAAGTGTTGGAAAAGATTGATATAACTCTGATTAAAAAATAAAATAAAAAAGGGCAGCTTGAAGTAATTAATTTAGAAGGAGGAAAGGATCTTTTGGATTCTACTGGGTATAGCTGGTACTCCTCTTTGGAAACACTGTCCTCTTTTCTCCTATAACTCAACTTCCATATTAGCTTCTAGTTTGAAAATATTCTTGTCAGAACTAACCACAGTATTTTAATATAGGTGAGGTATGAGAAAATAGTGAATCAATTTAATTTGTTTGAATGTGGTAGCAATTTCTGGCTATATAAGAGAGAATGTCTTTATTTTTCAGAGATTCATACTGAAGTGTTTTTAGGGGTAAAACGTCCTGATGCGTGCAATGTACTGTAAAATAGTTCCAACATAAAATAAAAACAAAGCATATGGCAAAACATAAAGAATATGGGTGTCTGTTATATAATTCTCTCTACTTTTCTGTATGTTTGAAATTTTAAAATTAAATTTAAAAAACAACCCATAGGCACTAAAATGATGGGCTTCACCCATGGTGCCATTTTAAAAATTCTGATTAAAACTAGTGAAGTACTGGTGATGGAGAAGTTGTTTTTCTGACCTATAAGGTTCCCATGTGGGCGGTGGTTGGGGAAAGGCATTGATGATGGAAGCCTGGAGAGAATCCTTATTGGGGAATTGATGACCTCGGTGGCAGATGAGGATCTGGTAAAGCAGTGTCGGACTCCACCCCAGCAGAAATCGCCCACCTCGGCTCGGAGACTGAGCATCACTTCACTGACAGGAAAAACCACCAGTAAGTACCATCATTGACTGTTAAATTTGCAGTATGCCTCAGATGTTGCAGGTATCATGGGGCCGTTTCACAGGGAATATACATTAATGAAATGTGGCAAGATTAAAAAGAAGAAAGTGGAGGAAAATTAATTTGGGCAAACAGAATTTGAAAGAAGGAGGAGAGAGGAAAGGGAAAAAATAAGATAAGAATTAACAAATAATTAAAAACCTGAAGAATTTAGATATTAAAATCAAATAAAAACTGCATGTTCTGTTTTAATTAAGCTGTGGAAATGTGACTAAGTAATATTTTGACTGAAACTTAAAGGAGGAAGAGTACCTGGCTGGTTCAGTTAGTAGAGCATGAGACTCTTGATATTGGGGTTGTGCGTTCAAGCCCCATGTTGTGGGATAGATTGTACTTCTAAAAGAAAAAAAAAAAACAGGGGTGTTTGGGTGGCTCAGTGGGTTAAGCCTCTGCCTTCGGCTCAGGTCATGATCTCAGAGTCCTGGGATCGAGCCCCATATCGGGCTCTCTGCTCAGCGGGGAGCCTGCTTTCCCCCCTCTCTCTGCCTGCCTCTCTGCCTACTTGTGATCTCTCTCTGTCAAATAAATAAATAAAATCTTTAAAAAAATAAAAAATAATAAAAAATAAAATAAATAAAAATTCTTCTCCAGGGGCACCTGGGTGGCTCAGTTGGTTAAGCAACTGCCTTAGGCTCAGGTCATGATCCTGGAGTCTCAGGATTGAGTCCCATATCAGGCTCCCTGCACAGCGGGGAGTCTCCTTCTCCTCCCTCTGACCTCTCTCCTCTCATGCTCGCTCTCTCTTTCTCAAATAAATAGAAAATCTAAAAATTCTTCTCCCTACGCCTGTGTTCCTACGGAAGTAATAAAATACTATAGAGGAGTGACTTCTATGGCTAGGATGCTGTATTTACATGCCATTTTTAATACTACCATAAATTTCCAATTTATGTTAATGTGGTCTTTAGTAGGCTGAATAATGTCTCCCAAGAGTATTAGATCCTAATCCCAGAATCAGTAAATGTTACTTTACTTGGAAAAAAGATCTTTGTAAATGTGATTAAGGATTTTGGGATGGGCCGATTACCTTGGATTATCTAGGTGGGCCCTAAATGCAGTCACACATATTCTTAAAAGAGGGAGGCAGAAATTGGAGTGATGCATCCACAAGCCGGAGAATGCCAGCAGCTGGCAGAAGCTTGACGAGGTGAGGAGTGTGTTCTTCCTTTGAGCCTCAGAGCTGCCCTGATTTCTGCCCGGCAATAATTTCTGATTCCTGGCACTCTGGAGCAATGAGTGAATAGATGTGTGTTGTTTTAAGTCATCAACTTTGTGATAATCTATTACAGGAGCCACAGAAAACTAAAACAGAGGCAGTATGATTTAGTGAAAAATTACAGAAGTTTATCAGGGAAGTGGTTTTATTTCAGCCATAGACAATAAAGCCATAAGTAGAATATAACAGAACCTGAGAGGTCTTCAGTTTACCAACAAAGAGGTTTCCTTAAATATTTTTAGTCCCCGTCCATTTATTAGCACATGGCAGTATATTAACTATTAGATACAGCCTAAAAATTCTCCTTACTCTTTTTTTTTTAATATTTTATTTATTTATTTGACAGAGAGCACAAGTAGGCAGAGCAATAGGCACAGGGAGGGGGAGAAGCAGGCTCCCCGCTGAGCAGGGAGTCCTGGGATCATGACCTGAGCTGAAAGCAGAGGCTTAACCAACTGAACCACCCAGGGTCCCCCCCCCCCGCCGCCATTCTTTCTCAAAATATGCCCCTGATTCATAATTCCTTGTTGCCTTCAGAAGTAGACTTCACACACTCACTAGATAAACTAAAATTATAAAGACTGATAATACCAAATGTTGGTGAGGATGGAGAGCAGTGGAATGCTCAGAGGAATGTTAGTAGGAATGACGAAGGAAAACCAGTTTGGTACTTTATTCTAAAGACATGCACACCCTTAGCATACACTTGACACAGAATCCCACTCCTCAGTATTTACTCAAGAGAAATGAACATGTGGAGCTACACTAATACTTGCAGTCCTATGTTTATAGGAGCTTCATTCATAATAGTCAAAATAGAAATAATCCAGTATCCACCAGCTGGTGATCGGATAAGGAGAATGTGCTGTATCTATTCAGTGGCATAGTACTCAGCAGTATCTAAAAATGAACAAACTACTGATGTATCTAACAATATGGGTGACTCTCAGAAGCATTATGCTAAGTAAAAGAGAACAGACACAAAAGACTAGATGTTCTATGATATCTAGACTGAATTCTAGAAAAGGCAGTGTAATAATGATAGAAAGCAGAGCATCAGTTGCCAGGAGTTGAGAGTTAGGGAAGGGGATTGACTGAAAGGGACACAGGGGAACTTTTGGGGTTGATAGGAATTTTCTGCATTATGATTGTGGTAGTTTCGTGACTATACATCTGTCTGAGCTCATCAAATTGTACACTTAAAATTGGTGAACTTATTGTATGTAATCCTAAATAGACTTAGAAGACTGACTTAAGGGGGCACCTGGGTGGCTCACTTGGTTAAGCATCTGTGTTCCACTCAGGTCATGATCCCAGAGCCCTGGGATCAAGCCCTGCATCAGGCTCCCTGCTCAGCTGGGAGCTGGTGTCTCTTTCTCCCTCTGCCACTCCCTCTGCTTGTGCTCTCTCACTCTCTGTGTCATCAAATAAATAAATTTTTTTTAAAAAAAGACATAAAAGATTTTAGCCCAGTCCATCCAAATTATTAGAACTTCTAAAACAGTCCCAGTTTATTTGGATATTACTGTTTTAGGAGGCCTAACTCCCTACTTTGGTAGTATTTTCTTTTCTTACTCAATAGGTAGAAATTTTTAAATAACCTAAAATTCAGAGATAGGTGATTGGCATTTTCTCACAGTGTGTGCAAAGTGATATTTAGAGAACTAAAAGTTTTAAATCAGTTTTAAAATATTTCTGATTAGAGGCTCCTGGCTAACTCAGTTGGTAAAGCATGAGACTCTTAATCTTGGGGTTGTAAGTTTGAGCCCAATGTTAGGTGTAGAGATTACTTAATCTTTTTTTTTTTTTAAGAGTTTATTTATTTAACAGACAGAGATCACAAGTATAGAGATTACTTAAAAAAATAAAATCTTTAAAAATAAATAAAATAGGGGCTCCTGGGTGGCTCAATGGGTTAAGCCTCTGCCTGCAGCTCGGGTCATGATCTCAGGGTCCTGGGATCGAGTCCCGCATCAGGCGCTCTGCTCAGCGGGGAGCCTGCTTCCTCCTCCTCCCTCTCTCTCTCTCTCTCTCTGCCTGCCTCTCTGCCTACTTGTGATCTCTCGCTGTCAAATAAATAAAATCTTTTAAAAAATTAAAAAATAAATAAAATACAACTGATTAGTACAGTGCTATTTTAGAATGAATAAAAGTTTTCAAAATAAGTCTTCATATTTACTTTTTTTAAAATATTGTATTTTTTCATTTGAGACAGAGAAATAGAGAGAGAGCGCGCACATATAAGCGGGGCAGACGGAGAAACAGACTGTCCACTGAGCAGGGAGCCTGATGTGGGACTTGATCCCAGAACCATGGGATCATGACCTGAGCTGAAGGCAGGCACTTAACCAACTGAGCGACCCAGGTGTCCCAAGATCTTCATGTTTAAAAAAATAAAATATTCAGGGGTGCCTGACTGGCTTAGTTGATAGAGCATATGACTCTTGATCTCAGGGTCGTGATTTTGAACCCCACATTGGACATAGGGATTACTGGGGGAAAAAAATGAATATTTAAAAAAATGTATTCAGAGAAAGGAAAAAAATAACTAGCAGCTGAAGAATCCACAGTATCAGTCCTTCAATCATTAGAGGTTCCCATTTTAACAATTTTTATGCATTGGTGTGGAAAAAACTTACTTAAGTTTTACCTGGAGAATGTTTTATGCAAGAAATCCTCCAGCAGTACGAATTCAAAGATTCTAAAACACTAGAATGTGTAGCTTGTCTTTTACAGTATGGCATGTAAATTAAATTTAATAGTTAATCACCATAAGGCATTATCAAAAATTAAATATTTTCTCTTATTACCTACCTACTTCTATCCCTAGAATCTGTTTACCACCTTTTTTTTTTTTTTTTTTTTTTAACCATTTTTGGGTTTTGGGAGGCAAAGGCAGTTTAGATGCCAATCAAGCAATCCACCATGGTCTCCCCCAAGAACGAGGCCCTAAGCATTTGAGGGGGGGCATGCAAATGAAGCAATGCCCAGATGGACTGAGTATCAGAAAAGGAAGCAGTTCGGGGTTTGGGCTGCTGCAACGTACCAGGCATCATCCCTTTATTTTCAACACAATAGCAAAAAAACAGATTTCAGGTTAGCCCTTCAGAGCTTCACAAACCTGGGTGTGTGCCCACTAAGGGACTCAGAGGTAGGTAGGATAAGGGGGTACCTGTGAGTGATGCTGTGGGTCTTTCCCACCTCACTCCTCAGATCCAGGGGTTTGCTAGCTCTTTGTGACAGGTACCATGCCAGATGATTTACACCTGTAATATCTCATTCACCTTTCCCAGTGACCCATGAGGTGTATATTTTCCCTGTTTAAAGGCTGAGGAAATTCAAACTCAGAGGAAGTTAGACATCTAACCAAGGTTATAGACTGCAAGTGGTAAGGTTGGAATTTGAATCTAAGGATCTCTTGGATTCTTTTGCTTTGTGCCAAGATGCCTCCCACTGAGCTGAACTGGCCTTAGGCAAATTTCACAGGGGTCCTAACAAGCCAGCCTGCTGTGGTGAAGTGTTTTCCTGCCTGGTGGACACAGCGATACCCCATAGTACTTTAGTTTATTTCCCTTGCATGAGAATTCAGCCACTGTTCATTATTTTTTCAGAACCCAATGCTGGACAGATCCAAGAAGGAATTGGAGAAGCTGTGAATAATATTGTGAAACATTTTCACAAACCTGAAAAAGAGGTATGATCTGTAAAACTTAATATGTAGGATTTTAAAGCCATTTTTATACATGGTACATAAGGCAGTAGAGGGTATGTTAGTTTTTATTTGTAAGCTTTCTAACAGCTACAAAAAAGTGCTTCATAGCTGTCATCAGCACCTATTTCTCTAGCATTTTCTTAAACATAGAAGCAGCAGATTATTCTTTGGCACTGCGTGTTTTGCTCCACAGAGAGGAAGCCTCACGGTGTTGCTGTGTGGAGAAAATGGACTGGTTGTGGCACTTGAACAAGTCTTCCATCATGGATTCAAATCTGCTCGCATCTTCCACAAGAATGTCTTCATCTGGGACTTCATAGGTAAGTTAAAGCAGGTATATGTTATTATAAGGTCACTGAAATGTTTCTTACAAAACTCGAAGACCCCAGAGTTTAAGCAAATAAGGGGTAGTAACAAGGGAGTACATTTTTTTAAATAAATATCAAATTAGCACTATCTTTTCATTCATCTAACAAGTATTTATGGTGTCCATAATATTCCAGACACTATTCTAGATGCTCAAGGTCTACATCAAGGGGCACCTGGCTGTCTCAGTCGGTAGAGCATGGGACTCTTGATCTCAGGGTCATGAGTTCAAACCCCACATTGGACATAGAGCTTACGTTTAAAAAAAAAAAAAAAAAAAAGATATACATCAAGAGATAAGTAAAACACAAAAATTCCTATGGTTGGCGTACTTAGATTCTGGTGGGGGCAGGAACCCAGACAATACACAAAAACATAATAAGTATGCAGCTTATCTAGTATGTTATAGAACTGTGTTTGATGTGGAAAAAAATAGAGCAGAGTGACAGGACATGGGGTGGAGAGTACTCTTCTAAGTGGGGTGATTCTATGCTTTATGGACAAGGTGATATTTGATCAAAGACTAAGGAAGTGAGGAATCGAGCCATGTGACTGTCTGGGAGAAGAATACTGCTATCTGAGAGGATTGCCAGGGAGAGGCCCCAAGCTTGGAGTACGCTTGGCCTTTTCATAGAATGGCAAGACTAATGTGACTGGGCCAGAGTGAGGGAGACAGAAAGTAAGAGGATACTGGGGAGAGAGGGCTGTTTATTGCCAGAGTCAGGTGCTTCAGGGCCATCTAGGCCATTGGAACAACTTTGGTCTTTATCATGATTGAAATAGGAAGTATTGGAAGGCTTTGAGCCAAGGAGTGGGTGACATAATATACCTTCTGCTTTAGAAGGATTACTCTAGCTTTATGCTGTCCCGTATGGTAACCGCTAGCTACTTGTGGCTATTTAAATTTAAACCGATTTAATGTAAATTAAATTTAAAATTTACTTCCTTAGTCATATATGCCTTACCTAGGAGCTACTAAGTTGAACCTACAGATACAGAACATTTCATTCATCACAGAAAATTCTGTTGGGAGTGTGCTGCTTTAACTTGCTAAATAAGCTTTGTAATCTTTATTTTGGTATGTAGTTCTTCTAGAATTCCCAGCTTTTTTTAAAGGGATGATTAATCATTTTGTGTCTTGTAAATATAGTCTAGATGAAGTAGTTGATTTTCTCAACTTAGAATTTTTAGACAAAGAAGAGGTTAACAGAGCTAGGCCTCCAGGAGTGATTTTTTTTTTTTTTTTTCTTTTGGAATGCCTAGAATCTTAAGCTCCTATTTCTGATATGTGTATACATATCCCTTCCTTAGAGTTCTTGAATCAGTTCTATTTCAATGGTTCCTGAATATTTACTGGTTACTCATAGAAGGTTCTAGCCTTGACAGAGGAGTCTGGTTTTCTGTTTGTTTGTTTCCAATTTCCATTGCTTGAAGATATTCTAAAGAGAGTAAACTTTCTACCCTTCTGGAGTGCAGTCTAGATTAGAAAATAAACTGCTGGGAGTATATTGTTCCACTGTGAAACATGGACCTCTGAAATTCATCTTGAAACCAGTGATAAAATAATGATTTTGGTTTCTGGACTGGCTATAATACAAAGCATCGTTAGTGTTTCCAGAATAAACTAAGTGATACTCTTTCTGTACATGAAGTATTAATGTGTATTGTGATATATTTCTGACTTCCTTCCCCAGAGAAAGCAGTTGCTTATTTTGAAAGCACTGACCAGATTCTAGACAATGAAGATGATGTCCTTATTCAGAAATCATCCTGCAAAACCTTTTGCCACTATGTAAATGCTATTAATACTGCACCCAGGAACATTGGGAAGGACGGCAAATTCCAGATTTTAGTTTGCCTTGGAACACGGTAAAGAGCCAATTCTTAACTTTCACTATCTTTGTTACATGTTGAACAAGAGTCCAGAAGCAATTATACCAGATCATGCCCCTTCCAGGGCTCTCCCATGGGCCTCTTTCATTCCTGATTTTATTATGAGACTATTTTTATTGGGTACTTGATATATGTTGGCACGATGCTAAGTACATTACATTCATTATCTCATTTAATCCTCCTGTCACTTCATTACTACACTACATGAAGTAGCAACTGGTACCCTCATTGTGTAGATGAGAAAACAGAAAATAGATGAGACATAACTAAGTTAAACAACTTTCCCAAGGTCACACAGTTAGAAAAAACCAGAGCCAAGATTCATACCCAGTCTCATTCAAGAGCCTATACTTTCAACCATTACACTACACGGGCTCCAAAGGTGGGCCGGTGGATAAAAAGGTAGTTTGATAGGGAATTTGACACACCACCACATATATGCACATATATTTACAGTATACCACCATATTGCTTTAAATTTGATAACATTGTAGAATTCATACTATATAAATAATTCTTTTTTCTATATAAATAATTCTTAACTATATAAAGTCTCTCTCTCTTTTTTTTTTTTAAAGATTTTTATTTATTTATTTAACAGGCAGAGATCACAAGTAGGCAGAGAGGCAGGCAGAGAGAGAGGGGAGGAGCAGGCTCCCTGCGGAGCAGAGAGCCCGACGCGGGGCTCGATCCCAGGACCCTGGGATCATGACCTGAGCTGAAGGCAGAGGCCTTAACCCACTGAGCCACCCAGGTGCCCCATAAAGTCTTCTCTTTAAGACAGGTTCCTACCCTGGTATTTTTTTAAAATGACACGTAAGAGCTGTACAATCCATTAATTTTAAAACAGCTATCAGAATTATAAGACATAAAACACATAGACTTTTAGAATAAGCTTCTTTTTTTTTTTTAAACGATTTCTTTATTTAAGAGCGTACAGGGGAGGGGCGGAGGGTGAGGGAGAGAGAATCTCAAACAGACTACCCCCTGAGTGCAGAGCCTAAAACAGGGCTAAGTCTCACAACCCTGAGATCATGACCTGAGCCAAGATCAAGTGTTAGACGCTCAATGGACTGAGCCACCCAGGCACCCCAAGAATAAGATTTTTTTTTTAAAGTTACTTGTGCAGTGTTTGTTATTTTCTACCACCCCAACCAGAGATTCAGCATGCCTACTTATGGCTGCTCTTGTCAGGAAAGGCATATTGTGGGGTGCCTGGCTGGCTCAGAAGAGCATGTGACTCTTGATCTCAGGGTTTGTAAATTCAAGCCCCACGTTGGGTATAGAGATTACTACAAAAAATTAACTTTAAAAGAAAAAGAAAGGGGACGCCTGGGTGGCTCAGTGGGTTAAGCCGCTGCCTTCGGCTCAGGTCATGATCTCAGGGTCCTGGGATCAAGCCCCACATCAGGCTCTCTGCTCAGTGGGGAGCCTGCTTCCCCTTTCCTCTCTCTGCCTGCCTCTCTGCCTACTTGCAATCTCTGTCAAATAAATAAATATCTTAAAAAAAAAAAAAAAAAACTGACTGAGTGGCTCAGTCAGTTAAGCATCTGCCCGCTAGGGTCATGATCCCAGGGTCCTGGGATCGAGCCCCAAGTTGGGCTCCCTGCACAGTGGGAAGTCTGCTTCTCTCTCTCTCCTTCTCCCCCTGCTCGTGCTCTTTCTTTTTCTCTCTCTCTCTCAAATGAATAAAATCTTATAAATTAATTAGTTAAGAGGAAAAAAAAGCATATTGAGATGCTTAGTAAGAACATCTAGATACTTAGTGACAGATAACTAATGTCTGAGTTTAATCAGTACACACTGAAGCCCCTGGGTGGCTCAGTTAGTTAGGCATCTGCCTTTGGCTCAGATCATGATCCTGGAGTCCCAGTCCAACATCGGGCTCCCTGCTCAGTGGGGAGTCTGCTGCTCCCTCTGACCCTCCCTCCTCTCTTCTGCTTTCTCTCATTCTCTCTCTCTCAAAGAACCCACACAACAAAAAAAAAAAAAAAAAAAAAAAAAAAAAAAAAAAAACAAAACACCTGAAGGTTGAGATGTCCTCCTGAAACAACTGGTTCACAGAACTAAGTTCTGTATTCTTAATAAGAGGGGCCAGTTTCACCTATACTTTTAAAAGTCCTTTTGGGCATGATCCTTATCTTCTTTTATATATATACTGTTTTGATTAATTAGACCAGTGCCTCCCTGCTTTTGGTTTATAAAATCTACTTAACGTTTTTCTGCTTTGATTTTATTCCTTACCTTGTTATGTTGTGTTAGTTTTTTTAAAATGTTAGTCCCAACTATTTAGTGTAGTGTTTGTTCCCAAAGAGTCAGTATACTTTGGCATGCCTTGCCACAGATGTCTGAGTAACAACCCTATAAAAAAAAGATACAAAATGACATTCTGCCTCTTTTTAAAAGTGTTCATTCCGAGTAGAGTCCCTTTAATATGGGTAAGTCCTTAAGGCCAATTTGTCCAGACTTACTTTTACAATCTCTTACGTTTTCCCTTTAGCTGACACTGTCTCATTACTGTATCTTTTTAACCAGCAAATTCCTGACTTTGGTTTCCTCTCTGAGGTCTGGTTTCCTCTCTGCTGACCTCAGAACATGGCTCGTTTTGCTCTGTCCAGCCCCACACCTTCCCGCTGAAAGCTCTAACATTTGTATTGTTCTGTAGCAAGGTCAGCAGGGCTCAGGACTTCTTTCTCTTTGAATCTGTAGGGATCGCCTGCTCCCACAGTGGATCCCACTCTTAGCCGAGTGTCCTGCTATTACCCGAATGTATGAGGAGAGCGCCCTCCTGCGCGACCGCATGACTGTCAACTCTCTCATCCGCATTCTGCAGACCATTCAGGACTTCACCATAGTCTTGGAAGGATCACTCATCAAAGGAGTGGATGTGTAACCCACGTGACTAGAAACTCTCAGTCCAGACCCCTTGTTCCCGAACCTTCCCCAGCTATGGGGACTGATTTGGACTTGTCTGACAAGGTAGTGAGTCACTGCAGGGGCAACACACTGTATTCCCCAATTTGAACAATCCTCACACTACAGACAAGGGAAAATGCTGTATTGTAGTTCATTTGAACCTGGAATTTAGTATAAAATAGAGTATTTTCATGTGTTAGATGTGTGTAAATATGCTCTTCTTTAAGAAATTATATTACTCTAATAAGATACTTTTCTTAGATTAAATATTCCTGTGATTTAAAATAAGTTGCTTAACCGCATTGGGAGTTGGGGAGGGGAAGAGTGGTGCTAGCCAGGAAGAAGCCAGTAAACATGTAATTACAGTGCAACCGAGTCGGGCTTTTTTTTCCCTCCAGGTATCACAAAGGATCCCAGAATGCATTGTTATGTCGTAGCCATCCGTCCTGGTGTGTCCGAGTCTTTGTATTGTGAAAGTGAACAGCTTTACCTACTGTACGTGACAGTCCACACTTCAATGTTTTTTTAAGTTACAAATGGTTTCATACATTTGAATTGAGTCACTTTTCCAGTCTTTTGGAAAAATTTTTCCGTCCGCACAAGCTAAAGATATGATTCAAATATTTTAAATACTGGACCCCAGGAGCTTGGCTGAACTGGAAAGAGAACACACAAAGCGCTGAGAAGTATGTTAAATTGTAGGATTATAACTTCTTTACACTTTGGAAAGATTAGCCTAGACTAACTTCATTCTTCACATTTTTATTCTTGTTATGTGAGGTACTTTGCAGAGATGTGAATTTCAAAGTGTTGGTCTCAAAGTTCTAAGAACTGCAAACGGCAATTTGATTCTGTACTTAAAATTTGGCCATCTAACCCCTGCAGCAGTTCCTTACCTCAAGGATAATCTCAAACCCTCTCTTTGTTAGGTTCCAGTCCCCACTCCCCTCCCCTCTTCCTGTGCCCATCCCCCTCTCAGGAAATGGAAGGAATGTCTAAGAAGGAGGAGGGCTCTGTGTAACTTGGAATGTTTTTGTGAAAGTATTTGTTGACCAAGATAATGCAAATAACAGAGGGAAAGAGCAAGAATGAACCCTTTCTGGGTGTTTCAGGGCAAGTTTTTATGTTCCTTTTTTAAGAAAGGTTAATAATATAAAACAACTGGCCTGGAGAAGGTAAAAGCCAGGGCCGCACAGACTGACAAAAATGGAAGCAGAATGAGAGGCAACAGTTTTTAAAGACCAAACATTGTGAGTAGCTTTCCAACTTGGCATTTTATAAGGAAGTTAAATAAATGTGGTGTTAGCTAGTTACCTTGAGTCTTCACTTATGGTAGGTCCTGTAACTAATTGGGCATTTGCACACTGTTAGCGATGAAATTGCCTCACAGAGCTCTGAGTTTTATTCCCACTTGTGGCTGAGAAGCAAAACCATGGCCTCTCAGGACCCTTGTACAATCTTGAGGGTCCTGGGCTTTAGCCAACAGTATTGTTTCCCTTATTTCCTGGAGGAAGAAATTAAACAAACAAGGGCTTCACTCCCTTTATCAAACACTCTATTCTGTATTCAGCTGGGGTGACTAAGGCACATCCCCTTTTAATCTGTGACTTAGTACTTGAGGAGCACCAGGGGAGCTGAAGGCAGCATTTAGAAACCCAGGGAAGGGCTTTAGAAAGATTATTCTGGGTGACCTGGGCACACAGGAGATGTGTTCGCCTGAGGCTAAGGGCTGTCTGCCTTGGTGTAGCTCTTCCAAGGACCTAGAAGGTCTTTCATGGGAGGTATCCAGAACCTACTTCACACGGGGTTCTTATGTTGCAGTGATTAGAAACCACAGAATGATCAGTGCAGGGTTTTATTCTTGTACCTTTCTTAGAAGGCCATCATTCTGGCACACTCTGGGCAGCTGAGAGATGACTTATGTGAGCATGCTAGCATTGAGCCATCATTTTGTAGATGGGAACACTTGAGGATCAGAGGGTTTAAATACTTAGCCCACAGCTGGTCAGTGACAAAACAGAGTCTAGAGCTCATGTCTTTTATTACACCAAGGCTGCGTGAGACTGAGAGCCAAGGAGGCATTCATATTAATAGTCTTTCTACCCCTGGATCTTTATCCATCCATCTAAACAGGTAGGAAATAACTGTTAACATTCATTTATAATAATCATTTATAAGGATTAATTTAACATTCATTTTAACAAATGGTTCTCAAGTGGTGGAGAATTACATCCATTACAAAAACCGGGAGCAAAATTGGATTTGGGGCCTGTGAATAAAGCTATTACTTTAAAAAGTAGTACCCCCCAAAAGAGTTATACCTAAAGTCTTATCCCACTTTGTGTAGTATGACCACAACAGTGGAAGTGACCAATTTCAAAAGAGATAATCACACCAGAACTGACCCCTCCTCTAGAATGCTGGAGCCTTTAAATTGATCACCTGGGGAGCCCATATAGTTATTCCAGTGACAACAGCCATGTCTCCATACATGTGGGGACCTCCTTGCAAGCTGCTTGAATGGCCTACAGCCCATTCTTCTGACTATTGGCAGTTATGGTAAATCTTGACATTTTATTTTTTTTTTTTTTTAAATCTTGGCATTTTAAAAGAAATTTAGTATTTGCAAACAAAAAGTCCTTAGGATCCGAGTTGATGAATAAAAATGATGTTTAAGCAGAGTTTGAGGTCACAAAAGAAACAGTTCTAAAGAAGTAAGACTTAGAGTTCTTACGTGGCTTATAGTTGCCAATACCAGAATATTTTGAGCAGGACGGTAGCAGAACCCTTAGAATAAGTGTCCATAGCTGGCTTTTGGAAGGACCATACCCAGTGAGAGGTATCCTTTTTGCTGTATTAATTTTTTTAATTAGTATATTGCTTCATAATCACACCTTAGAGTTAAAGTAAGTAAAAATCAATTTTGTAATTGACTTTTTTTCTTCAAAATAAACTAAAAATAATGTCTGGAATTACAATTAGTATTTTCAAATAACAATAGCTTGAGAAGAAATTGTTTTAAAATGAAATTGCCAAAAATATTACCTCTTGAAACATCTAATTTCCAGGTGTTTTTCAAATGTCTGGAAACTCCGAATCTCAGCCTTTCTGACACAGTGGCAGCACACTGTTGTTGGTACTGTGTGTGAACCCAGTTAGCATTGCCCTGGGTCGGGCTCATTAGCTCCTTAAAACTGCCTGAGGCTTGGTGTGGGGTGTGGAGTTGCTTACAGTGGGGGGGTAGGGTGTGGAATAGCTTAAAGTGGGATTCTAATTGGTGTGAAATAGGGCTACGGAGAACAAAATTTCCTCCTCTTCCCCTATCCCACTGGGAGCAAGAGTTTGATATAAGAAATCTGAAACATGCAAAAGTTTGCAATTTCCCTCTAAAATTTATTTTCAGTGTTTCACACATTTTTGAACCTTTGTAACCCTGTGGTATTTACTTTAACATGCCTTTTTAAAAAGTCGTTTTCATGAATTTCTGTCACACTACATGAATGATATAGGGGAAATAACTGAATTGCTTGTATTTCCTTTTTTTGGAATAAAGCACTGTTATATGTAAATGTAATGAAAGAGAGGTAGAGATGATACTTAACGGTTTGTGTGTAGTATATGTTGACACCTCTAAGATATTTTGAAACATGAAGCAACAAATAAGGATCTCAGATCCCCGGGGAAATATTTATTTGACATCATTGAGAATGTAGCTCTTAATTGAAATACGTTCTTTCTGCTAAGAATTAAGATTTTTCAGTGGGTTTTCATTTTGAGAATTTTATTTTTCTCTGTGAGGTTTACAGAAACTGTCCTTTTCACCATGTTGAAAGGACAGTCTGAACCTTTGCTATTTATATTTCAGTATTAACACACCTTCGTTGATGGGAATGGAGTCTCGAGCTCCTCTCTACTTTAGTGAATCTTGTTTCCGAGTCATCAGTTTCTTTTGAAGCCCCTGTTCCTTACATAAGTATTTGTTACTTATTTAGCTTAAAAGGAGACGGAAATGAATAATAAACTTCTAGGTCCCTTATTTCTATTTAAATACATTTATAAATCTGTTGAATTTCCAAGCTTTTTTGAAGAGTGCTGATGATGTGATCAGAGGATTGCAAGAAACTCATCCTCCCAGATCTTTCCTGAGATGATCATCCTCTCAAAGACAGAAACAAGATTAGCTCCAGAAATGTATCACATTGAGCAGTTGACAGCAGAGTGAAAAAAAAATACATATTGAAAAGCTTCTCTTCATTTGAAGGAACCCAGGGCATCCTTGGGTTATGTAGGAGAGAATCACACTTCATCCGGTTTCCTGAATGGATTTGTGTGTAGCTCCGGGTCTATTCCAAACCAGATCTTGTTGACAGTAGAGAGGAGTTCCTGTTGTCAATCACATGAAGGTGTTAAACATAGACAAAATCTTCTGTGTTACACTTGAACCTTGAACCTGTATAAATGTACCCAGTGTATCTTTTTAAACAATGAACATTTCTGCATTTAAATTATATTGTGTTTCTTTATATTGTTGACAATGCATCAGAACTGGATTTTTTTTCCCCTCATCTGAACATAATATAAAATTTAAAGAGTATTGTGATATCAAGCACTTTAACATACATATAAGAGAAACTGACGTGGGTTTTTCAGGTTTTGGAGTACATTTAAATATGACTTTTCATGCTTTGTTCTTTACAAATAAAACTGTGGGATTGATACTTTGTTTTGCTTGGTTATTACAGAATCTTAATACTGAGCAGCAAGGGACTTCAGAAAGTAGAGAGATAAACCAAAACCATTATGTAGTAAAAATACAGCCTGCTCAGCACCTGGCTATCCAGAAGAGGTTTAAAAAATATTTTTTTGAACCTACCTCACATCATACAGAAAAATCAATTCTTGATCTAATAGTCTGACTAAAAAAGGAAAAACAAGTTTTAGAAGGAAATACAGAATGTATTTATGAACTTGGGAAAGGAAAGTATTTCTTACAACAATCAAAAATAACTAGCATTATAGTCTACAGTAAAAATAGAAAACAAAGATTCATTGACTACCCACTATAGGCATTACCTAAATTGTTGCATTGTTATGGGCACGTAGCATTTTATTTTATTTTATTTTATTTTATTTTTGCAAATAGCATTTTAAACACACATCAAATTCCTGCTGTAACAGAATTTATATTCTTTTTTTAAAAATTTATATTCTAATGGAGGAGTTACACAGTAAACAGAAGTAATACACAATGTAGTTAGATAATAAGATAACAAGCAAAGAAGAGATGGAAAGTGATTGAGGCCTCTTGGAGGGGGACTACAGTTGTTAAATGGCTTAGCCAGAGAAGGCCTCACTGAAAATGGAGTTGTCGTTAACTGAGATTGGAAAAAGTGTAGGAGAAACAAGTTTGGAGGATCAACATCAAGAGCTTACTTTTTGGGGCACCTGGGTGGCTCAGTTGGTTAAACATCCAACTATTGATTTCTGCTCAGGTCATGATTTTGGGTGGTGAGATCAAAGCTCTGTGCCCCTCCCCATGTGCTGTCTCCTCTCTCTCAAATAAATAAATCTTTTTTGGGGGGGATAAGATTTTATTTATTTGAGAGAGAGCAAACAGGTTGGTGGGAGGAAGTGTGTGCAGAAGGAGAAGCAGACTCCCTTCTGAGCAGGAAGCCCAATGCAGGGCTCGATCACAGGACCTCAGAATCATGACTTGAGCTGAAGGCAGATGCTTAGCCAACTGAGCCACCCAGGCACCCCTATAAATAAATAAATCTTAAAAAAAATAAAAAGCTTGCTTTTGGATCTAAGTTTGTAATACCTATTAAACATCCAAGTAGAGAAGCTTAGTAGATACTTGCACATATAGATTAGGAATTCAGGGCAGAACAATGGTATATTTGTCAGGGTTCAATCAAGTCAGAAACCACACAGCTATTTGAAGAGGGGTGATTGATTGATTTTTGAGTAAGCTCTGTGCTCACTGTGGGGTTTGAACTTGTGACCCTGAGATGGAGAGTTTTATTCTCTACCGTGGTTTAATTTAAAATATGAGAGTTCTCTAGAGAAATAGAACCAAGAGGTCCTGTGTGTGTGTGTGTGTGTGTGTGTATACATAGATTTTAAGGAATTGGCTCATGTAATTCTAGAGACTTGGTAAATCCAAAATCTGTAGGGTAGGCTGGCAAGCTAGACACCCTGGGAAGAGTGTAGTTCAAGTCCAAAGGCAGTCTGCTGGCAGAATTCTTTCTTGCTCAGAGGAGGTCAATCTATATTCTATTTAGGCCTTCAACTGATTTTATGAGGCCCACCCACATTATGAAGAGTAACCTGCTTTACTTGAAGGCCACCAATGTAAAGCTTAATTTCATCCAAAAAACATTTTCACAAACATTTTTTAAAATTTCTTTTTAAAGATTTTGTTTATCTTTGTGACAGAGAAAGAGAGTGCGCAAGTAGAGGGAGAGGGAGAATCAGATTTCCTGCTGAGCAAGGAGCCCGATGCAGGGCTTGATCCCAGGACCCTGGGATCATAACCTGAGCCGAAGACAGACATTTCACCAACCGAGCCACCCAGGCTTCCCTCACAGAAACCTTTAGAATAATGTTTGATTAAATACCTGGCCACCATGGCCCAGCTAGATTGATACATAACTAATTTAATCATCACAAACTATAACAAGAAATTAGAACAATGGAGAATTTGGTGCTAAGCACTAAGAAGAACTCAAAAATATAAGAATTTAAAAAAAAAAAACAAGAATAGCGTCTATATAAGCAGCCACTAACGCTAGGCCTGAGGCCAGACAAAACTAAAATACCACCTTTCTGTCAGGCTGAGAGCTAGATTTTGTTGGGGCACAACCATAGCCCATCAGATGTCAAAAAGGTTTATTAAAATGCCGTACCAGTAGCACTTACGAATCTACCAGAGGTTCCAGGGACACATGCATGGGGAGGTACCATATCCCAGAACTCACTAGGACGCCGTCCATGGAGAAGTGCTGTACCAGTAAGACTCACTGGAGAGCCACCCAAGGGAATGCCATATGAGGTTAGCTGCTGAGCACCTGAGAGCCAGGAGCTTCCTGCTGCAGGAGCTTGCAGAAGGGAGCACAGCAGAACCAGAAAGAGAAGCTCTTTCCTCCAGTGCATTCTGCTGACAAAGGTGAACGTTGTGCCAGCTGGCAAAGGAGAAATGTTTACAAAAGGGTCTAGCTTCATTATTGCAGAACAGGCAATAAAGGGTAGATTTGGAGCTGAGAGGCAATAAACTGATAACTGCCCCAGTTCCTGATACTCAGTTACAGAGGAAACAAAGGAGGGGAGCAGGAAAATGCAGAAGGAAAGATGAGACAATAAAGCAAGTATCTCCAAACTTTATGGTGCAAAGCTTTAAAGCAGATATTGTCTGCCATGTCTATTTGAACTTGATCCAGATATTTCTATACAATTTTCATCATTATCCTTTAAAATAGTAACTTTTAAAAATACTGATTAACTGCACTTAAAAAGGTTAGGAGGCCTTTGCAGTCTAAGGGAAAGACGACCGCAGGGGTAACAATGAAGGTGATGAGAAGTGTTGGGTACTGGGTAAATCTTGAAACTAAAGCCAAGAACTTCCTGATGGATTGAATGTGGGGCATGAGCAAAAGAAAAGTCAGGAATGACTTTTGATCTTGGCCTGAACAACTGGAAGGATGAAACTAGAATTTCTGTTAAACTAGATGAGTACGGATTGGGGGAGAAAAGGCTTTGGAGACAAGTCAGAAGTTCAAGTTTGGACATAATAAATTTCAAATATTGATTAAATATCCAAGTGAAAATGGTGAGCAGGAAATTGAATGTCTGAGTCTGGATTTTGTGAACAATTGGACTTCAGGTATAAATTTGGGAGTTGTCAGCATACATAGATGGAATTTAATGTCCTAAAACTGGATGAGAACATAAAGGGAATGAGTTATTAAATAATCTCCCAAAACATTCCTTTTAATTCCATGATATGGATGTGGCATGACATTGACATTTAGATTTACCTCCCAATTTTTCACTATTCTGAGAAATGCTATGATGAAGAACATCTGTATTTCCTAATGTTTCGCTATTCTGAATAATACCATAATGAACAAAAATCCTTGCTTTGTGAAAAATTACCATTTTTGTAGGTCAAAGGCAAATGTAGACAACTTTATATGATTCAACCTAATATTCGTGATACTTCTTTTGGTTCTTTATCCTGATGTGTTATAATTTGATTAAAATAGATACTGTAACCTAGATGGAGCAATTAATCTCTGGGCTGCAAAATCTAAAAATAAATCACTCTAGATTGAGCTACCATGTGAGGCCAGATGTTTCCTAAACTCCGGTAAAACATAATCCTGAGGTTTCTCCTTTACCTATGCATAACTTGTGTTCTTAAATGACCCCAAAACTTTTCCTGGGTTTCTCACATTAACATCCTATTCAGAAATAACAGTTTTAAAATACATGAAATAAAAAGTGATGGAATCAATGAGAAAGAGACAAAGTCCCAAGTGTAATAAGAAAAGCACTCCTTGGGCACCTGGGTGGCTCAGTGGGTTAAGCCTCTGCCTTTGGCTCAGGTCATGATCTCAGGGTCCTGGGATCAAGTCCTGCATTGGGCTCTCTGCTTGGCAGGGAGCCTGCTTCCTCCTCTCTCTCTGCCTGCCTCTCTGCCTACTTGTGATCTCTCTCTCTGTCAAATAAATAAATAAAATATTAAAAAGAAAAGAAAAGCACTCCTTTCTCAATAATTGAAAGAGCAAATAAATAGGAAGTCAGTAGAGACATTGAGGACTTGGACAATACTGTCAACCAACTTAACCAGATTGACATTTATAGAACATTTTCACCAACAGCAAGATACAAATTCCCTCCAAGTACACAAAGAACACTTAACCAAAACTGACAATATTTGGGTCCATAAAACATGTATCAATAAATTTAACAAGATTCAAATTGTGTATAGTATGTTCTCTGGCCACAAGGGTCAAAAAATGAATCAAAAGTAAAAGCAAAAGGAATATCTAAAACAGATTTTAAAGAGAGATTAATAGCACTGAACACCTACTTAGAGAAAGTGTTTTGGGCTCAGTAGTTTGAGGGTCTTGATTTTGGCTCAGGTTATGCTCTCAGGATTTTGAGATCAAGCCCGAATTAGGCTCCTCACTGGGTGTGGAGCCTGCTTAAGATTCTCTCCCTCTGCCTCTGCCCCTTCCTTCTCCATTTCTCTTTCACTCTCTGTCTCTAAAAAAAAAAAAAAAAAGAATGAAAGAAAGAAAGAAAGAAAAAGAAAAAGGAAAGTTTTTCTATGATACATATGTAACATATGTTAACTAACCTATGTTAATTAGAAACTGCTTAGAAACTAAAAAACTAACAAAAAAGCCAATAATAAAGATTAGAGCAGAAATCAATGAATTAGAGAACAGGAAAAGAAAAATCAATGAAGCCAGAAGGTGATTGAGAAAACAATAAAACTGATAAACCTGTAACCAGACTGAGTAGAGAAAATAGAAAAAGAACACAAATTGCCAATATCAGGAATGATAGACTTGACATAAATACAGATCCTACAGATATTTTTAAAAAATCACAAGGAAAAAAAAATCACAAGGGATTAACATGAACAACTTTTTGGCTATAAATTCTACAATTTATATGAAATGGAAAAGTTTCTTAAAGACATCAACTACCAAAGCTCGCTTGAGAAGAAATAGATAAACTGAATAGCCCATGTCTATTAAAGAAATTGAATTTGTTATTCCATTTGAATTGAATAGTTAGCCTTCTCACCAAGACGATCCCAGGCCTAGATAACTTCAGTGGTGAACTCTATTAAAAATTTAAGAAAAATGGGGTGCCTGGGTGACTCAGTGAGTTAAAGCCTCTGCCTTCAGCTCGGGTCAAGATCCCAGGGTCCTAGGATCGAGCCCCGCATTGGGCTCTCTGCTCGGCAGGGAGCCTGCTTCCCCTCCTCTCTGTCTGCCTCTCTGCCTACTTGTGATCTCTGTCTGTCAAATAAATAAATAAAATCTTTAAAAAAAATTTTTTTAGAAAAAAATAATGAAAATACTACACAAACTCTTCCAGAAAATTGATAAAATATGTGTTAGTTTGCTAAAGCTTCTGTAATAAAGTACCACAGACTAGGTGGCTTAAACAACAGAAATTTATTTTCTCACAATTCTGGAGGCTACAAATCTGAGATCAATGTGTTAGCAGTGGTTTCTTCTGAAGTCTCTCTCCTTGGCTTGTAGACGATCATCTTCTGTGTCTTCACATTGTCCTCTTTCTTCTGTGCATGTGTTACCTATAAAGACACCAGTTAATATTAGATTGCAGCCCACCCTAATGATCTCATTTTAACTTAATTACCTCTTTAAAGACCTTATCTCCAAATATAATCACATTCCTAGGTACTAGGGGTCAGGGCTTCAATATATAAAATTTGAGAGGACACAATTCAGCCCATAACAACGTAATAACTTCCCAACTAATTCCATGAGCCAGCATTATCCTAATACTTTTACCAAACAAAGAAATTACAAGAAAAGAAAAATATAGACCAACAACTGTCATGAACATAGATGTAAAAACTCTTTTTTTTTTTTTAAGATTTTTATTTATTTATTTGACAGAGAGAGATCACAAGTAGGCAGAGAGGCAGGCAGAGAGGAAGGGAATCAGGCTCCCTGCCAAGCAGAGAACCCGACGCGGGGCTCGATCCCAGGACCCTGGGATCATGACCCGAGCCAAAGGCAGAGGCTTTAACCCACTGAGCCACCCAGGCGCCCCTAGATGTAAAAATTCTTAACAAAATGTTCTCAATTCAAATCTGGTAATAAAAATATGTCTTAACTACTTGGGCTGTATCAAGGAAAGTAAGGTATTTGATATTCAAAAATTAAAAATCAAGCAATGTAATTCACCACATTTACAGACCAAAAAATAAAAGCAAATTATATGCTCATCCCCACAGATATGAAAAAAATGTTTGACAAATTCTAGCATTTATTTATGATTTAGGAAAAAAATAAACTCAGCAAATTTCTTCACCTCAGATGTACTATGTTCATGGGTCAGAAAATGCTAATGGGCATCTATAAAACACCTATAGCTAAACACCATACTTCAGTGGAGAGAGGCTGAGCACTTTCCACCTAGGATTAAAAACAAGGCGAAGATGGGGCACCTGGGTGGCTCAGTCGTTCAGTGTCTGCCTTTGGCTGGGGTCATGGTCCCGGGGTCTTGGGATCGAATCCCACATTGGGCTCTCTGCTCCGCGGGAAGCCTGCTTCTCCCTCTCCCACTTCCTCTGCTGTGTCTCTGTCAAATAAATAAATAAAATCTTAAAAAAAAAAAAAAAAAAAAACAAGGCAAAGATCTCCAGTCTTAACACTTCAACACTGTACTAGTTTCTAGCCAGTGCAATGAGAAAGAGAAAAAGCTTCAACTTTGGAAAGGAAGAAGTAAAACTGTCTATTTACAAATGACATGATTGCCCACGTAGAAAATCCTATGGAATTTACTAAAAAGTTACTAAAACTAAATGAGTTCAGCAAGGTTGCAGGACACGTTAATGTACAAAAATCAGTTGTACTTCTATATGCAATAGTGTTACAAGTCTGAAATACTTGGGAATAAGTCTGACCAAAAAATGTGTAAGACCTACTCACTGAAAACTACTGAGGGAAATTAAAGAGGCCCTAAATACATGGAAAGATATGGTGTGAAGGAAAAAAAAAAAGATAATGGTGTGTTCATAGGTTAGAACAGTTAGTATTATTAAGAAGTCAGTTCTCCTGAAATTAATCTATAGCGTCAAAGCAATCCCATCCAAAATCCTAAGTCTTTTTTGTGGAAATTAACAAATTAATTCTAAAATTTACTTTGAAGAAAAGAGACAAATTTGGAAGACTATGTTAACTGATTTCAATACTTATAATAAAACTACAGTAATTAATTCAGTGTGGGGAAAAATTGAGGTAGATGAATAAATGAATTGAACAGAATAAAAGTTTGGTAACAGACCCACACATATATGGTCAATTGCTTCAGTGAAGTTGCAAGAGCAATTAAATGGCAAAAAGAATAGCCTTTTCAGTGAATGTTTATACACAACAGAAATGAAGTTCAATCCACAATGACACCATATACAAAAATTAACTCAAATGCATCACAGAGAGTTCACAGCTCTTTGCTTTCCCACTAGTGTGCTCCTTCAGAGTCATTGCTGATTCACAGAGCTTGAAGGATACATTGGCTTTTTGTTTCAACAAAACTTAAAACTTGGAAACAAAACAAACAATGCAACAGTATGGTTAACCGGTAATTTTGAAGAAGTTCTCAGCAAGGAGGTGACTAAGTTCAACCGGCCACAGAACAAATAGAGATACTACTTTGTTAAACAGTTAGTGGATCGGGTGCCTGTGTGGCTCAGTGGATTAAATCTCTGCCTTCAGCTCAGGTCATGATCTCAGGGTCCTGGGATCAAGTTCCGCATTGGGCTCTCTGCTCAGCAGGGGGCCTGCTTCTCCCCCATCTCTCTCTGCCTGCCTGTCTACTTGTGATCTCTGTCAAATAAATAAATAAAATCTTAAAAAATTAAAAAAAAAAAGTTAGTGGATCAACATCAGCCTCAGAAGGTTGCAGAGTTGGGCTTTAGGGCTTTAGTGATGCCACACTTAGATGGACGCTAAAATTCCACAGTTGCATTGAACATGTTGGAGTCGATATTATTGCTGCCAATTCCCTACAATGGGAAGGGACTAAATTGACTCCAACATTGGGTGAACAGTAGGGGATTATCTAGCTCCTCCGGACTTAGAGTTGACTATGATCGTGTGTGTTGCTCTGCTGTTCAGAAAGACTCTCATTTGCTTGGATTTGACTTGATAACATGTATTGAATTGATAGAACACTTAGATCCTGGAGATATGGCCAAGTTTCCTGAAGTCATATTTGGGTACTTTTCTCCAGGTATGGTTGTCAACAGCACACCAAACTCTGAATTCAATCCCATTTCTGCCATCAACCTTTAGATATCCAGATGACAAATCTGAGTGGAACAGAATGCAGTTTCAGACATGGGCTTTGGCTGTGGCCAGTCTCTACATTGACTCTGTCAAGTTTACCAGTGTGGGGGCTCCACCAGCAGGAGCTGAGCATGCTGGATACTATACCCAGTTAGGGGTCTTCCAGAAAAACATACCAAAGGCAACTAATTTGTGCATTTCAGAGCTCCAGGAACATGTTTATAAAGCTGTTTTTACAACCTCATACCTGAGTTTACAGCAAAAAGAGTACCTCCAGCTTGTTCTGAATGTTGAGGTGTTAAAAGAAGTCAACTTTAGGAAACTCCGGTTTCTCCTGGATCCAAAGAAAAAGGAGAGCGGCTGAGTGGTACCAGAAAGCGCAGATTAACCCTCATGGAAGCTCAAAGAGCCCATACAGAGCAGTCCCTCAAAACTTACAGTGTGGGAAAGGAGTTCTCTGTACCCTTAAGAAAGACTCACTGGTTATCCAGAGGTGAACTGCCCAGTGGAGAGCATGGAGAAGCTGAGAGAACACTGCTTGCTGAAGCAATTCGACTGAACAGGTATCAGACCGCAGTGCAGGCGGACTTGATTACCATACATGAAACCTCCTTGGGTCTTCATGATAGGCTCATGTAGACAACTTTGTGTAGTCTAAGTTAGGCAACTTAGTTTTGCACTTCTCTAACCTTGTTCTTATTTTTCATATGCTTTTGCGGGGTGATGGAGGGTTCATAATGTGCTTGTTCATGTTTCTGTTTAGACCCACGTTGAATGTGACTTTAAAAAATTTTAAAAGCAAATTGGATTAACAAAAACTTCCCGGCGGAGAGGGGGAGTGCATAAAAGATATAAATGTAAATCCTATGTAAAATGTAAAACCTTAAAAGAAAACAAAGGTAAATGGCTTTGGGTAAGGCAAAGATTTCTTAGATATGACAATAAAAGATACAGTCCATAAAAGAAAAAACTAATAAACTGGACTTCATAAACTGGACTTTGAGCATTCAGACGGGAAATAGTTCTTGGTTAAGCAGGAAGTTGTACAAATGACTTCTGGAAGACCTTCATTCTAAGCAGTTTTACAGTTAAACATTTCATTTAGAAGTCTGAACCCTTCTTTTTCAGTTTGCTGTAATTTACATTCACTGAGCAGAACTTGCATTGATCATTAGGACACACTTTATGCTGGGCTCCGGGTTACTATCCATTCCAACAGATACCTGACTGAACAATGACAGACACAAGAGGTACACTGCTGCTCCAGTACCTCCAGCTCCAATAAACATGAAGAGAGAAATCAAGCTTGAATGCCTTCTTGGCCTAATCTAGGACCTAGGACCTAGGGGAGCATATTTGTACCGAAGGCCTCAGGTGTGAAAGGAGAGGAAACTAAAGCCAGGCCTGGGACTAAGTAGTCTCTGTCAAAAAATAAACTCTTTGAAAGATACTATTAGGAGAATGCAAAGGTAAGCCACAGACTGGGAGAAAATACTAGCAAATCACATATCTGATGAAGAACTTGTATGAGAGTACATAAAAAACCCTCAAAAAGCAGTAAGATAGGGATGCCTGGGTGGCTCAGTCAGTTAAGCATCTGCCTTCAATCAGGTCATGATCCCAGGGTCCCAGGATTGAGTGCCATGTCCTCAGTGGGGAGCCTGCTTCTCCCTCTGCCTGCCGCACCCGCTGCTTGTGCTCGCTCTCTGACAAATAAATAAATAAAATCTTTAAAAAAGAGAGAGAAAAATCAATAAAATAAACAGTCCAACAACAACAAGAAGGGGAAAAGAATTTGAATGGACACTAACAAAGAAGATATGTGGATATCAAAAAGCACACAAAAAGATGCTTATCACCTTTAGTTATCTCAGAAATGCAAATTAAAACTAAAATGAGATACTACTATACACTTCTGAGAATGGCTAAAATTGAAGGGACTGATTATACCAAAGGTTGGTAAGGATGTAAAAAATTGAAAGGAGATTATACCAAAGGTTGGTAAGTACGGATGTAGAGCAGCTGGAATTCTCATTAATGCAGATGGGAAGGTAAAATGGAACCACTTTGGAAAACAGTTTAGCAGTTTCTTGAAAAATGACATACACCTGGGGCGCCTGGGTGGCTCAGTGGGTTAAAGCCTCTGCCTTCGGCTCGGGTCATGGTCCCAGGGTCCTGGGATTGAGCCCCACATCGGGCTCTCTGCTTGGCAGGGAGCCTGCTTCCTCCTCTCTCTCTCTGCCTGCCTCTCTGCCTACCTGTGATCTCTATCTGTCAAATAAATAAATAAAATCTTTAAAAAAAAATGACATACACCTATCATATGACTAAGCCATTCTATTCCTAGGTAATTAATTACCAAAGAGAACTAAAAGCATGTATCTGTATAAATATGTGTACATGAATGTTCATGACAGTCTTATTTGTAATAGACAAAAACTGGTATTAACCCAATTGGTATCAACAGATGAGTGGGTAAACAACCTAAGATATATCCACACAATGGAATACTACTAGCAATAAAAAGGAAAAAAACTACAGATACATGCAACAACACAGATGAATCTCAAAGTAATTATTCTGAGTAAAAAAGGCAAAAACGAATACATACTATAAGATTACATTTGTATAAAATCAAACAAAAATGCAAAGAATCTGCAGTGACAGAAGACAAATGGGTCGTTGCTTGTAGATGGGGGCCACTGAGTGGTTGGGATGATAAAGAGGCACAATAATCTGGGGGTGACCGATGTATTCATAATCTAGATTGTGGTGATAGTTTCACAGGTATATATGTGTCAGAACTTACCAAAACTGCACACTTTTCAGTATGTGAAATTTGTTGAATGTCATTGATAGCTCAATAAAGCTCAATAAAGGCTTTTTAAATCTAAGTGAAAAGTTAAGAATAGGGGTGCCCTTGTGCCTTTGACTCAGGTCCTGGGATCTTTGCTCTGTGGGAAGCCTGCTTCTTCCTCTCCCACTCCCCCGGCTTATGTTCCCTGTCAAATAAATAAGTAAAAAATCAAGAAAGAAGAAAAGAAAGTAAGAGAGAGAGAAAGAAAGAGAGGGAGGGAGGGAAGAAGGGAGGAAGAGAAAAGAAAAGAAGGAAAAGGGAAGGGAGGGAAGGAATGAAGAAAGATTGAATGAAAACCCAGACATTGAAACTAAATTTAGAGGAAAAAAGA